GGGGTTGGGGTTTAGTGTTTAGTTTTTAGAGCACCCTCTCGTACATCTTAGCCTCCGGGGTCGTAGGGTTGGGTTGGGGTTTAGTGTTTAGTTTTTAGAGCACCCTCTCGTACATCTTAGCCTCCGGGATCGTAGGGTTTTGGGATTAGGGTTTAGTGTTTCTTGATAAAAAGACAAAGTTCCATTTTGCACTATTGCGCATGCGCACAAGCTGTTTTACGGAGAAAAACGGACTGCCGGATCTCTAGCAATTGAAAACTGTGTCCGGTTACCGGACCTGTAGACACAGCCATAAAAAAAATTGCTTGCATTTCCCAGTTCTGAGATCTGAGCATGCGCGACCACACCCAAATTTTGGAGCACATGTTTCTTTTAATAACAAAATGGCGGAATGAGGCAAGTTTTGACTGATGCTACAGTCTGATAGTGTCACTTCTTCCTTTCTTGGAGAATGAGGTGATGGGACATGGACCTGCGCATAGACTGTTGGAGTAGAATGGTGTAAGAATTAGCCTTCTAGCACCAGCCAATATTGAGATACACACCGACAACTGGATTGACAGGAGATGATGATGATGATGATGATGATGATGATGATGATGATGAAGACGACTGAACAAAACGGCCGTTTTGCCGATTTTTGACTTTCCTCTTAGACAAGTTTTAGAGCCACGCTAGTGGTACCTATGGAGTCCTCTGGTCAAGATAAGGTCCTCTGAGAAGTCTGGTAAGCATAGGAGCTTGTTTTCCCGGTATAGCAAGGCTGCAAAAGTTGTGGCAGCCATATTGTTTTGGGGTGAATCCTACTTAGTAACGCTACCGCGTTACTAATATAGTCATGTTAGAAGCTTACCTCTCCTCTCCTGCATTTAGTAGCTGAAGGCATTTTATGGAGCAGCTGGCAGAGAGTGGGTAGGACTGTACAGGGTCTCTTGTTCCACTTTCCTTTTGATATGAGGATAATCTGTGTCTGATTAGCATCAGAGAACATATCAGCATTAGTCTCTATAGCAGACATTAACTCACTGATGGGTGTAAAAGAGAGAAAAAGAAGTAAATAAGAATTCAAAAAATTTGAAACAAATATATATAAGTACTTTTAAACACAATGGGTTCTTGATTTGATGTACATGTACGTGCATAAATTTATAATAAGTTTTTAAGAAACTGATGCATTACATGTAATACAATGTGAATTCATTTGCTAAGTAGGAGATACAAGAGCATGACAATATCCAGGTCCTTTTCCAGGAAAAAATTAACAATAAATTCTACAGTGCAACAATTATAGTACCTTTTCAGGACAGGTGCCATCTTTTCTAATTCAACTAGGACTTGCTCTCCCACTTCGTTCACTTTCCACCATGGTCTGGCTTCAAGGTCAGGCTCATTGTACAGTGATCTCTGATCAACTGATGGAAAGAAACCTCTGGCAACACCTTCAGCATATACTAAACCAGCCTTGAAGAATAGGAGGAGAGAGAGAGAGAGAGAGAGAGAGAGAGAGAGGAGAGTACAAAAGAAAAATAAATTAATAATTTTCAAGAGGTAAAATTTTGGTGAATTTCTAAAATTTTTTGCGACAAATTTGGCAAATTTGTGGCCATGCACTATTGAGCATCTACAAAATTTCCTACCTCTTCAGTCTTGTCCAATCTTGAGAGAGTCTCTCCGGTGTATAAATAAAACTTTGGATTCTTTTGTATCTCTCTATTTTCAGACAGCCCTTTCACAAGATGAGGCATTGCTTTATCAAACCGCCCACCTTTATAATGAAGGTATCCAAGATTAGCGTGGGCGAGAGAGTTCCCTGGCCATTTATTAATGACGTCCTCAAGGAGTTTCTCAGCCTCCTCCATCTGTCCTCCTTTCATGTATGCTTGGGCTAGTTTAGTGGCGTATACCTCGTGCATTGGTTCCATTACAACTGCTTTTTTCAGCGCTTTAATCAACATGGTCGTCTTCTCTCGTCTCTCAGCACAATCAGCTAGTCCCATTAGCGCTGCTAATTTTATATCATCATTTGCCAACGAGCTCGCCTCGAATGATATTTGATAGTAAATGTCGATAGCTTTATCCAAATACTTGATGCTTCCTTTGGTCTTTCCCAGTCCTTCTAAAGCAAGAGCCTTGCCTAAGAGACCTCGGGGACTCTGCTTAAAACGTTTTAGAACCTTTTTAAATTTATCGAGAGCCTCAGAGTAGTATCCTCCCTTTAAATAGTCGTCTGCCTCGAGTATTTCCATTATAAGTGGTCGGTCGGGGTCGCTGGGGGGGACGGGGCGACGGAGGATTGGTAAGTCGCTGATTTTCGTCTTTAACAGCTCTTCCCTGCTTTTCGAAGCTGGGCCTGATTTCTGAGATTTTGTAGGTGAGGCCTTCTCTTTTTTGGGTGAGGCTTTCTCTTTCTTGGACGAAACTTTTTCGGACGAACTTTTATTCTTTTTAGACTTCGATTTAGACGATTGTTCTTTCGTTGATGGAGACTTCTTTGAGGATGGTTCACTCTTTGTAGTAGACTGATTGCTTGATTTTGCGTCATTGATACCGGATGATGGAGCCTGTTGGGGGATGGGAGAATGCATCTGCTGCCTTCCTTTGGAGGGTTTATAATTATAATAATAGACAGAGAGGGAGAGGAGAACTGTGAGTGCTACTATCCACAATATTATTTTTCTTTTTCGCTTTGTTTCAGCATCGTCCTTGATCTTCTTTAAGTGACGCTGCTCTATAATTCAATTAATAATTGTTAGCAGTGATTAGCATACAACACACACTAAATAAAAAAGGACATTGGATTTAGAATATGCTGTAAAGTAAATTTAATTGCAAATCATTACTGCAAATATTTAGCACAATACATTATTAATAAAAGCTAATTTATGTAGTGCTTGTCAAATAAATCGAAACAAAAAAGTTCTTAGTTTAATGAGTAAAGTACAGTTTTTATGCATCTTTTCAAGATTATATATATACAGCCTAAGCTGCTTATTAATTTCAGGACATGCCAAAAAAGTATGGCTTTACCTTTTCTTTTATCTTTTAGCTCCTCTCCCACTGATCTCTGTCTGACAGTAGAGCTAGCCATCGCCTCGTATGTATCTTGGCAATCTTGCACGAAACCCACAGCAAACTCGCAGAGCAGCCC